CGACGGAGCGGCGCGTGGACGGGTCCCGGAGCGTCCGCGCCCGCGAGCGCTGGAGCGCGAGGAGGTCGCGCATCAGCGCGGCCGACGCGGGGCTCCGCCTCCGGCCCGAGGAGGACGCGGGCCCTCCGCCGCCTCCCCCGTGGTGGCGCAGGTGTACGCAGTTGGTGAGGTGCGCGTGGCCGCGCGGGTGCCCGCCCCCCGCGGCGCCGGCGCGGTCCGGCGCCGGCATTGCGTCACGCACGTACGGCACAAGCGCTGGGATCGAGGTGCGAGAGAAGCGCTGACTCCCCTGTGTGCGCTGCGCTAGGCCATCTGGGCGTGGCCGGGGCGTGGCCGTGTGTGTGTGTGCCGCCAGGGGCGAAGCCAGGATAAAAGGTCGCCGGGGTCAACACAAACAAGTAACACTAATGTGTCCCATTAAAAACAAGGTAGAAAATTTATATCCAAAAATGTGTACCTTGTATAACATGTCTATAATGTTTTTTTAGTAACCTGACATAAATAAAAATAATAATAGTTGCGAATGTATCCTAAAACTGATTACAAAAGTAGTTACCTCTCTATTTTTCTTGACCTCTACGTTCTTTCATCTTCAAAAAGTAATCTATTACATCCTTACGTGAAGTTGAATATAGAAGTCTTTGCTCCAAGAAACAAATGATGCAGTAGTTCATGAAATCATCACCAATGCGATTACGTAGCACAGTCTTCACTATTTTCATTCCAGAGAAACATCTCTCCACTGATGCAGTTGCGACAGGCAGCACTAATACTAGCTTCAGGAGCTGATAGACCAAAGGAAAAGCAAGATGCTTATTTGTACTAACCATCAGCTTACCAAGTTCAGAAATAGTTTTCAGGCCTGTAAATCTTTCGTCTGCTCGCACATTATCAATGTAGAAAGGAAGCTCATGAGCAAGTTCCTTCAACTGGATAGAATCAAAATCATCTGGATAGGACTTAGCCAAATCAACTAAGCTCTCAACATCGAAAGCTTCAAAGGAATCTTTTGGACAGAATGCAGCCATTCGGGTAAGAAGGCTCGAATTTACTTCATTAAAACGATCATTGAACTCTGCAAGCTGCAAGTCAATAACAGGGTTGAGGCAATCATATCTGTAGTGCTGATAGTTAGTGCGGTTGGTTTTTTTCCTTGGTTTATGCCGGTCTATATACTCTTCTTCCATATCCAACTTAGGAATATCATACAGCTCACAAAATGAGTGAGTTCTCTCCAATAGAGACTCCCAACCGTCATCTCTGATTTTCTGAAATTTTTGCTTGGTTAACTTCACCTCTACCATAGCCTCCAAGATGTCCTTATCTTTCCTCTGTAAAGATAGAGATAAAGCATTTGCATGTCCCAAGATAAGAAACATCAAGTGTAGATGAAACACGAAGTCAAAATCAGTAACATAATCTAAAAGACCACGAGCTTGACGCTTCTTTGCATCACTTGGCCCATCTTTTTCAACATACTTGAGTACTTCAATAACATCTGGGAACAAGTTAAGTATGCTCCGAAGAGTTTTATAGTGAGAACCCCAACGAGTGTCTCCAGCTCTTTGAAGTGATAGCTCTTGATTTAATCCCGTTCCAGTACTAAGTTGTCCACAACCAATACCTTTCTTCACTCTTTCTTGCTGACTCTCCCTAATCAAGTCTTTTCGTTTACAAGAAGCTCCGGCCACATTAAGTAGAAGGGCTGTCATGTCAAAGAAGTCACTAACATCATCATTCTTTTTAGCTACTGCCACAATGACTAACTGGAGTTGGTGAGCGAAGCAGTGAACATAATATGCTGAGCTATTCTCCCTCATGATCAAAGCTCTCAAGCCATTGAACTCACCTCTCATGTTGCTAGCCCCGTCGTACCCTTGGCCTCGAACTTGTTTTACGTTCAATCCATACTTCTTGAACAACTGATCAATGCCGGATTTGAGACATGAAGCAGATGTCTCATTCACATGAACAACACCAATAAGTCTTTCTTGGACTGCTCCGAACTCGTCGACATACCGCAAAACTACAGCCATTTGTTCCTTGCCTGAAACATCAGCGGACTCATCAACCAATAAACAGAAAACTCCACACCAATTTCAGCAACAATAGATTTGACTATGATCTGCACAAATAAAAAAATTAGTTTGAACAGTACTATAGGTAATGTCATCATTTGTAAGATATAATAATAATAGTAATCAATCATTACCTCTGCATAGCATTCAGCAATGTCCTTCTGAATTTCTGGAGCTATCAGTTTATTATTTCCAGGCGCATCTCTTAACACAACTCTCTTTGTATTCACATTTTGCTCTGCCAAAAGAATTGATAACTCTCGAAAATTTCCTTTGCTCTTAGACTCTTCTGATTCATCATGACCACGGAATGCTAGACCTTGATGCAGCAAGTATCGAGCATCACTTATGGAATTGTTCAATCGAATCATATACTCCTTTTCAGTGACTTTGCTTTGCTTGTCGAGAGCAATAACAACTGATTGGTTATGTTTCAGCAAATTATCACATCTTTTGACTGCCGTATTATGAAAACTATTAGGAGATTTGCCCACATGGTCACGAAGTCTTTCCGGCTTGTTCCAACAATCAAAACCGTCAACTACAAATGCGTCATTCCCTCCTTGTCCTTCAATGGAATCTCTGAACAAGTAGCAATGTAAGCAAAAGGCAGCATGCTTCTCCTCACTGTACTCTAGCCAGTGATAGTCTCCAAACCATTTATGATTAAACCGGCGTAAAATATTGCCTATCCTCTTCTGTGGATACTTGAAGCCAGGTTGTGGCCTATGCGGACCTCTAATCAAATATCTCCGCCTTACTTCATCTTGTAGCTTTGGTCCTATATATTCTGATATTCTCCTCCTATCGGCTGGATCGTGGGGTAGCTTATCCAAATCTACCTGGTCTGCTCTAACTTTACCTCCTATCCTGCTTGGAGTTGAAGTGGCCGGCAAAGGACATGGGCGTATAGTACGTCTAACGTTTGATGGACTTTCATCATGACTAGGATCATTGCTTGTGGGTGGTGGTGATTTTCTTTTCAAATTCAGAAAACGCTCCATTATACTCTTACTACCTGCAATTTAAAACACACAAATAACAAAACAGAGTTAGTACTAACATAAAAAATTTACAGTACAAAGAGATTGTAATCTTTCTTGTTAGCTTACCTGACATTATGATGGGATGTGACTTGAGGCCTAATCTAAATTGTAATCCAGGTGATTAGATTACCCACACAACCTTCAAGCAGTTATTAAACAAATCAATACGTCAAACAAACCCTAGTACAATAGGAATTAGATGAAGAAATTGGCTTTAGTACTACTTACAGATCAATTCTGTGAAACGAATCTTAAATTTTGACGGCGTAGAGCTGTAGAGGACAGAGGAGTGGAGATTGGGAGCAGCGGCCGGCGGCGGCGGGCGGCGGCGCTTCAGGCGAACACAGGGACCGTCGGGCGAGACGTGAAGAAAGAAAGAAGGGCAACACGGCCCTGATCGACGGCACGCGTGACGTGAGAATGAGCGAAAGCGATCTGATCGATAGGAAGTTTTTTCAGGGGCGGATCGATCAGGTAGTGGAGATCGATGCGAACTCTGAAGTGGCAATGGGCCTGCGTGCAGCAGTTTTGGGCTGCTACGAGAGGGGTCCTTTCTGGACCGGGGTCAAAAAAGATTCACCGCACCATTCTTCTGTGTGGGCTGTATATATATATATATAACTGGGTTTGGGCCAGGGTCATCGGGGTCAATTGACCCCGGCCCAACACTGTAGCTCCGCCCCTGTGTGCCGCGACTGCGAGTGATTGTGGCGGTAGCTAGTGTACGGGTCGGAGATTTGGACGCCTTTTCGGTTGGAGGCTGCGGGATTTCACGGGAAGGAGAGGGGGTGGGTGGCGGTGTGGGCTGGCGAGTGGCCTCGTCTCGTGCCGTGTGTGTGGGAACTGGCGGTGTTCTCGGGGATCGCGCCCGTGTCGCCCGGGCATATGGATCTCCCTCGGCACGGGGCGGGGGGAGTGGATTGGCCTTTCTCGGCTCGGCCTCGGCGCCTTGGGGCGTGGGCATGCATCGGCGGCGGTTGCGTCTCTGCGAGACTGCACTACGCCAGTACCGAGGCACCCTTGGCCGAAGCGGTATGGGTCGTCTCTCCGTGCGCTCCACGTACTGTCGTGCTTAACACCGGCTGATGATAAGACGGTACAGGTACCGTTCCTCTCGCGCTCTACCATTTGGCGTGAATGGTGAGCTACATCAAAAACAAAAAACAAAAAAAAATCGCAGAAAGCACGTGACGTGTCGTGCGTTTCGAGTGAACACAGAGCAGCCATCGCACCAGCAAAGTTGTGGAGCCGTGCATAGTACTTTATTATTAATTCAAAATTTCTGCTGTACCAGCCCTGGTGGACCGACGGATGGCCAAGCTGCGAAGCTCTGACGTGGACAGGACAGTAATCACGCTCGGCAGTGGAGCCAGGTGCATCGTCGGGTGAAACGTCGGTGGCAAATGATTCGGGGGCGAGGCGGGACGGCGGTATGGCCGCAATCACCAGACAACGTCGAGAAGGATAGAGGGCCCCGAACGACATGATTCGGGAAAGAGAACCACAGGTGCCTGGCTGGTCAGCGGCCAGAACGTACGTACCCAGGGTCCAGGGCCAGGCGGGGCTTTGCCGTTTGCGAAGCTTTGCCTCGAAAATGTCAAGCCGAGCCTACCTCACAACCGGGTTTGGAAAAACTTTCAAATTAGGCCTCCTTTTTTATTGGCCAGTGATAGGCGTCCGCCGGCCGGCCCAAATTTCGGCCGTTGTTTGATCTCGCTAGCATCGGTGGTTCTGATTGACCCGCAGTCTGCAGATTAGGCGGTCGTCTTCCTCCTCCCCACACGTGCAAAAAAATTGGAGGAGCTCCCCTCCGCTCGTCGGCAACCTCGTGCTCGGCCTTGGCAGTCCTGTACTCACACACACTTGCTGGTCATCCTGAGCCGTCCGTGCTCATCGTCTCCAGTCGCAGAATCGCCGCCAAAAATTCGGCCATTTCCTCTGTTCTCTTCTGGCGATCCCCACTTCCTCTCCCTTACCATCGCCGATTGGCCACCTCCAACTCACCTTCGGCCTCCCAACACCGCCCACGCTCGCAGACGTGTGCGTCGTCAACTCACCCTGTAGCTTTGTAATCGGTCATTGCCTATTGAAACTTTTCACGTATATCGTTGAAGCTTTTCACGTGAATGGTTGAAGCTTCTCACGCAAATGGTTGAAGCTTTTTCCGTTTCGCTGTGCCCGGATGAAGCTTTTTCAAACACCGGTTGAAACTTTTCACGTATACTGTATACGGTATATAGTTGAAGCTTTTCAAGCAATGGTTGAAGCCTTTTCGTTTCGCTCTGCCCGATTGAAGCTTTCTTAAAATGCCGGTTGAAACTTCTATTATACAAGTTGAAAGCTTTTCTTGTCAACAGTTGTAGCGCTTTCCGTTGCCTGGTGCCCAGGTTAAAGCTTTGTCTATCGCCGATGACAAGTATACCGAAACAATTCTGCATCTAGTACTATTACTCCACACATCGACCGACTCCTGCTTGCATCTAGAGTATTAAGTTCATAAGAACAGAGCAACGCTTTAAGTAAGATAACATGATGTAGAGGGATAAACTCACGCAATATGATATAAACCCCATCTTTTTATCCTTGATGACAACAATAAAATACATGTCTCGCTACCCCTCTTGTCACTGGGTAAGGACACCGCAAGATTGAACCCAAAACTAAGCACCTCTCCCATTGCAAGGAAAACCAATCTAGTTGGCCAAACCAAACCGATAGTTCGAAGAGAAATGCAAAGATATCTTAATCATGCATAGAAGAGTTCAGAGAAGACTCAAATAATAATCATAGATAATCTGATCATAAACCCACAATTCATCGTATCTCAACAAACGCACCGCAAAAGAAGATTACATCGAATAGATCTCCAAGAACATCGAGGAGAACATTGTATTGAAGATCAAAGAGAGAGAAGAAGTCATCTAGATACTAGCTATGGACTCGTAGGTCTGTGGTAAACTACTCACGCATCATCGGAAGGGCAGCAAGGTTGATGTAGAGGCCCTTCGTGATCAAACCCCCCTCCGGCAGATCGCCGGAAAAGGCCCCAAGATGGGATCTCACGGGAACAGAAGGTTGTGGCGGTGGAAAAGTATTTCTGTGGATTCTTCTGATGTTGGGGGAATATTTGAGGATTTATATAGGTGGAGCTAGGGTTAGAAGACCTCTGAGGGGCCCACAAGCCAGGGGGTGCCCCCCCGGGGCGCGCCCTGGTGGCTTGTGGTCTCCTCGGGACTCTTCTGGCTCTCTCTCCAAGTTACGTAGGTGTCTTCTAGTCCAAGAAAAATCATAGCAAAAGTTTTATTCCGTTTGGACTCCGTTTGATATTACTTTCTGAAAAAGTCAAAAACAAGGGGAAAACGGAAACTGGCATTGGGCTCTAGGTTAATAGGTTAGTCCCAAAAATAATATAAAATAGCATATCAATGCATATAAAACATCCAAAACAGATAATATAATAGCATGAAACACTAAAAAATTATAGATACGTTGGAGAAGTATCAAGGAGTATTAAGGATTTATTTGTGAAATAGTTTCATTAATATTCAGAACAGTTTTGAGAGGAACCGGAAGCGTTTCAGGGTCACCAGAAGGAACTCAGAGTTTATCGGGCAATACCGAGTATTACTGTTAAATAATATGCAGATGCAAAATGTTTCTGGTGATGCTAAATTAATAATAGAAGGCTCTAATAATTTTTAGGATGCTTTTATATTTAATTTAATATAAATGGGCCTTAAAAAGCAAGAGGTGGAAGAAGAATTGGGCCACAAGGGCCCAATAGGGGAGGCTGAATTGGAGAAGGGGGGACGACTCCTCCCCTAGGGCCGGCGCAAAGGGAGGGGAGTCCTTCCCCTTGTGGCGCCCCCTCCCATTTCCCCAGCACCTATATATACTAGAGGCTTTTGCACCTTTTGAACACACAAGTTTTGGAGCCTCCTCTAGTTCTCTAGTTCTAGTTCTAGTTCTAGTTGGCCCTAGTTGATCAATTAGAGCTAGACCTAGATACTATAATCCTCATATTTAGAAGCCTAGTGTTGTTCTAATCTCCTCCCTCTGATTCTTCAATGATTAGCTCTGGAGGGCAAAGCGCTGCTGGATCGTGAAGATCATACGCTTGTAACTCGTAGAGAGGTTGTGCCTTCCATCTTTCGTTCGAGGGATTGTTCATATGGGCGGTTCGCGATATTGTTTATCTAAGGTTCGAGGGACTCCAAGCATGATATACACCGACTTGCCTTCTTCCGATGCTACCCGGAGTCGGTAACGATCGAATCCAAACCATTAATGCATCTTCATATTGTTCCTAGGTGATTGTAGGGCGATTTTTGTTTTGTTTTCTACTACGTTCCCCAGCAGCCAGTGAAGATGTTGATGGAGATGAGTCCTGCCACGATGAGAGGAACATTGGTGATAACAATGGCTTCGTTTTCCCCCTTCCGGAGGGAAGTATCCCCGACAGAATGCAAAAGTGCTCCTGCCTAGATTCTCCCTCGAGACGGCGGCACGTCGTCCCAAAAGTCTTATTCTGATTTTTTTTCTAGGGTAAATGGCTTCATATAGCGGAAGATGGGCTTCGGCGGACCTTTGTGGGCCCAGGGGAGGGGGCGCCAGCTAAGCTTGTGGGCCCATGGTGGGTCCTCTCTTGTATCCTTTTGAAAGGATCAATATGATCGACTAGAGGGGGTGAATAGGAGACTACAAATTTTAATTGTTCTTGTCAATTTTAAGGTTTAGCGGATAAATAGGGTTCACTAGGTGTGCAACTAGGTGAACACAACCTATATGACAAGCAAGCTCAGAGCCAAATATGCTAGGCAACAATTTAATTAGCAAGCCAACAAGCATACAAGACAAAGTAAGGTGCATGGAAGGTGATGTAGGGTGGAACCCCAGATGGCTGATCTTTCACGAAAGGAGCGGATCCCACGAAGAACACGAAGAACACGAGGGGAAACACGAGAGAATCACTCAAACCAACAAGTATGATCACACATGTGCTAGATCCATAAACACAAAAGGAGATACAAGATCCACGATCAACAAGGGACGATACACGGTAACCGGTTCTTCTCCAAAGGAGGTCTTGATGGGGGTCTTCTCCGTGAGGAGGTCTTGAATCCAAAGGGATCTTCTCCAAAGAGGGGCCGCGGTCTCTCTCAAGGAGTAGATCCAATGTGGATGAGCAAAGCTCTATCTCTAAATGAGCTACTACTTTGCTAACCCTATCTAGGAGGAGTAGGAGGTCTATTTATAGCCTTAGTGCAAATGGGGATGAAGTGAGGGGGTACATGGGCCTCGGGCCCGAATCCTGTGCGCAGATAGGTATCGGACGTCCGCTGGGGACCGGTCGTCCGGTGGCTCGTGGGCGTACGGACGTCCGGTGGTCGCTAGACTTTCGCTATTTCTGTTCTGTGATGGAGGTGTCGGACGTCCGGTCGCTTCGGACTTCCGCTAATTTTGGCTCGGGTGCGGTGGCGCCGGATGTCCGGTCCTGCCCGGTCGTCCGCTTGCTGTGCGGTGTGGCCGGTCGTCTGGTCCTGGCCGGACGTCCGCTCGTTGTAGCTTTTGGCTGGGGCTTCAGGCTCCGGACGTCCGGTCCTGACCGGTCGTCTGGTGGCTGTAGCTTTGTTGGCCTTCCTTCTTCATGACCTTGGCGCTTGGTGTCCTCGTCATCTTGTCCGATGGGTGTAGCTGATCTGTGGCTCTCCTCCAAGTACCTGATCACGCATAGTGTTTCCGCTTGAGGTAGTAGCCATGTCTCATGTATAGAAAGTGGTAGTTCGGAGTGGAGCGAGTTCACCTTATCTTCGATAGCCTTTGCTCGTGCCCTTGTCATTGGTCCAAGTGGTGTCGTGGGAGACATAGGTAGGTCCATGGGGATGATCTTGGGATGCTCCGCATCATATCCCCTCCCTTGGGAAAGATCCGAGCTCAGATCAAATTCTTCTTCACCATGGCAGGGCGAGAGGTCCTTGACATTGAAGATGTCGCTCACGTTGTACTTGTCGCACGGGAGGTCGATCTTGTAAGCGTTGTTATTGTAGCGTGCAAGCACCTTGAAGGGTCCATCCGCTCGTGGTAGGAGTTTGGACTTGCATTCGGTAGGGAAGCGGTCCTTGCGAAGGTGTAGCCACACAAGATCACCAATTTTGAATACCATGGGGTGCTTGTTGATGTTGAGCTTGGTCGCAAGACATTGTACTTGGCGCTCGATGGTGTGCCTTGTATCTTCATGCACCTTCTTGAGATGGTTCACACGTGCACTTGCGTCCATATTGATGCGCTCTTGGAGTGGTAGAGGAAGAATGTCCAATGGTGACAATGGGTTGAATCTGTAGACGACGTCCAAAGGGGACTTGCCGGTAGTTGAGTGTCTTGCGCGGTTGTAGGCGAACTCGACGAAAGGTAGACACTCCTCCCACTCCTTGATGTTCTTATTGATGAGCACCCGAAGTAGAGCGGAGAGTGTGCAGTTGGTCACC